AGTCAGCACCAGGGACAGGGAAACACAGTCAGCACCAGGGACAGGGAAACACAGTCAGCACCAGGGACAGGGAAACACAGTCACCAGACAGGGAAACACAGTCAGCACCAGGGAAACACAGTCAGCACCAGGGACAGGGAAACACAGTCAGCACCAGGGACAGGGAAACACAGTCAGCACCAGGGAAACACAGTCAGCACCAGGGACAGGGAAACACAGTCAGCACCAGGGAAACACAGTCAGCACCAGGGACAGGGAAACACAGTCAGCACCAGCACCAGGGAAACACAGTCAGCACCAGGGACAGGGAAACACAGTCAGCACCAGGGAAACACAGTCAGCACCAGGGAAACACAGTAAGCACCAGGGACAGGGAAACACAGTCAGCACCAGGGACAGGGAAACACAGTCAGCACCAGGGAAACACAGTCAGCACCAGGGACAGGGAAACACAGTCAGCATCAGGGACAGGGAAACACAGTCAGCACCAGGGACAGGGAAACACGGTCAGCATCAGGGAAACACAGTCAGTACCAGGGACACACAGTCAGCACCAGGGACAGGGAAACACAGTCAGTTGTATGTAGCCTAAGTAGTTGGCACTTATGCGGCAAGAACACAATCCCAAACTTGACTAAGCAATGTGAGGCAAGAACTGGTTGTGATTTTAAACACCAATATCCTCTCACTTAAACCAACCTGATGAAATAATTTTCAGAAGTGTTTACTGAATTTTACGACTGATACTGAACGATAATTTCCCTTTCCCTAACATGAAATTTTCATTCCTGCATGGTGGACACATGTCTGTTTTATAATTAATACATAAAATACATATTTTTTAGGTCTAATCAGGTTCAAAATCTCAAGACAGTTAGGAAACTTAACTCTAAAAGAAGAAAGAAGTATATCTGTAAATGTACATTTTTTGTTAGTACCAAGGATATTGGGGGTTTCTTTTACACAACCGGTATAGACTCTGATCCCGCTTATTTTTCAATATCTGTTAGCCAAATTTGGGATTGTGTTCTCCCTGTAAAAGTGCCACCTCCTCTGGCTACATACATTTGCATAGTGGCCAGAAGCAGTATTCAAGTCAGAAGCTTTGAGTGAGACATTCAGTCTCACTGGACAAAGTAAGAATCTTGGACACATACAGAACCAGACTTCTATGCACGAGGGATTAAAGAGGCCATCTACATCAGGGCATTACAACCATCCCTCAACAGAGACGGGGGCGCCATAGACTTTCTGCAACCTATGATCCACTGTTCACGGAGTCACGTGTGATATCTGTGTGACGTCACGGAAGCTGTGGATTGCTCATTCCTTGACAAAGACTGGAGTTGTACAGTCGAAAATTTGGGTGAGTCCAATTTCTTGTGTTGGAAATAACAGTTTAAAATTGCTTCATAATGATTTCTACCAACACAGATGAACTTTCAAGATAACATCTGTCCATAATATCACCAGGGTCCATAATATCGCCACATTGAGAAATAGTGTTGCTTAAAGATATTTTTACTGCAACATACCCTAGGTATGTACATTTGATGTGTGAAGGAGTGCATACCAAAAGTATGTTGCAGTAAAAATATCTTTAAGCACACTATTTCTCAAGGTGGCGATATTATGGACCCTGGTGATGTTATGGACACAGATGTTACATGTAAAGAAATCTGCTATACAATGTATCTTATCAGTATGTTTTACCAACTATTTTGGGAATGTAAATGTAATGTACCTAGTTTGGCTAAGAAAGCTCCGTAGTTATTTAGCACATCTGGGTTTTCCCTGTCCAGATCTAGTGACTCCTGGTAGATGGCCAGGGCCTCCTGGTTCCGTTCTAAGTCGGACAGTAACGAGGCCAGGTTGACACGAGCATCGATGTAGTCTGGCTGGATGACAATGGCTCGTCTGAACAAGGTCTCTGCTTCTGATGTCTTCCCTTGTTTGCTGGAGAAAAGGGATGTGATGGTAGTCAGGACAGTAATGTAACAAATAGCTGTAAGCATGAAAGTTCATCTAAGTTGGTAAATTACATTTAAATTTATGAAAAACTTAAACTGTTCTCCAACTCAACATTTGACTCACCAGAAATTTTCGACTGAATCACTCAGTCTTCCTCAGCTATATACATCAGGGCACTTTAACCATCGCTCAACCGGGACTGGGGGCGATATCGACTTCAGACAACCTTTGACCCTTTGTTGACGTCACACGTGGGAAAAATAACACGTGTCCACAGCTTTTGGGTCAGATAGCTGAGGAAGACTGAGTGATTCAGTCGAAAATTTCTGCTGAGTCAAATTTTGAGTTGGAGAACAGTTTAAGTTTTTCATAAATGGCTGTAAGTTCATACTAGAATTATCATATCTAATGGATGGGACCAGCTGATCCTTTATTAAGGACTAAATGACACCAAAAAAAGTCTGTAAAATACATACAAATATCGGGAGTGTACATACAATATAGTCACTGGAAGTTTGTTCCAATCATGATGACTGAGAAACTGAGCTTGTACGGCCTTCTGAAAGTGGATTTTTTGAGACTCTCTAACAAGCCTCCCAATTGCCCACTTCGGGCATTTTTATTTGCATCGCCGTTTTATTTTTGCATTTCTGTCCTCTTTATTGAGCTGACATCACTGGGTGACAGCTCAGGAAAAAATACAGATATGCAAAAATAAAATGTAGAGATGCAAAATAATCACCCGCCAGGACTGGCTTGTGCTGACCTTTCCAAGGCAGGGCATTAGAATTTCGAATGTAACAGGAGATCCATGCATATTTATTGTGAATGTGTCTGTTAGCCAGGTAATACTTGTCTACATGTAGTTACAGTGTTATGTCAACTACAATCAGATAGGGTCATATTTTGGTGTCATGAGCACTTTAAAGTCATGATCAGTTGAACCCAATCGGCTTGTACTGGAGCTTCTTTCTCTTGTCCACAAACAGTATAATACAATGAATCTTTTTGACATGAGCATGATAAAATCAATCATTTCACAGGGTTCAACTAGGACATTGGAGTGTTTGTCTCCAATGTACCCACGTAATATAATGCCACATTGGTGGACCAAGTCTAGGTGCTTGAATGAGTTCTTCCTTCATGTACATGTCATGTATTCTCATATCATATAATTCCTGTTGTCCAATGATGGCAAAAATTGAATATACATGTACACTGGTAGGATGCTTTTTTTGTCTAATTAGTAATGCCTTCTAAGTTTATCAAGTTCTTTTAATAAAATAAAAGAGAGACAACATTGTGTAACATGTTGTGACATTGTTTGGCCAGCTATGACCAGGGTGACATGTGCTTCATGACATGCTTCTTTTGGAGTAAGGCCACACCAATTTAATTTCTTGGTTAACGGATTCGACCGCTTCATTTTTTTCTGATTTGCAAAAAAAAATTAAAACTCAGAATCAACTGCAAAATGCTCATATTTTGCCCTGAACAGTTGAAAACAGTCCTTTTCTTCCTAGTTGTTACAGTTATTCCATCTTTCAATGCAATGGTATCATTAAAAGTTCAAAATTCATTGTTTAAATTTTGAACCAGCCTGGTATGTTGACTTCATGGCTCCTATCGTACCATTTTGGGCCATAATAGGATGCCTAGGCCTGATTTTATTTTTTTCGCTCGCCCGCTCCATTATTTTTGTAGAAAAATCCGTTAACCGAAAAATTAAATTGGTGTGGCCTAATATAAGATACCAAACTACCACCAAACCTCAAATATTACATACCTGATGAGGTTGGCGAGGTTGAAGTGTGCCTTGGCGTGTTGTGGAGTGATGTTCATGGCGCGGCGGTAGTACAGCTCCTGTAGCTGGGAGTCGTTGGTCATCAGGGTACCCAGGTTGTTGTTGGCACTGGCATGGCGAGGATACAGTCTGACATTCAGGAAACAAAGGACAAAACTAAGACAGAGGTCAACAGAGACGGGGGGCGCCACAGACTTTCTGCAACCTATGATCCCCTGCCCACGGAGTAACGTGTGTTATCTGCGTGCCGTCATGGAAGCAGTGGATTACTCATTCCTTGACAAAGACAGTCGTACAGTCGAAAGTTTGGGTGAGTCCAATTTGTTGTGTAGGAAATTACAGTTTAAACTTGCTTTATAAGACAGAGGTAATTGTAAAGGACATAAAACCATGGCTGACAGACCGCTGTGGAGTACAGACTAGTGGTGCAGCAACTTCACCTGCCCACCAGGGATGATGATGATGATGAAAGGTACCAGTTTACAGCCAAATAACTGGAAACATCCCTTAGCCCAATTTAATTTGTTGCTTCTCGGATCTCCCTGTCCATTTTTTTCTGATTTGCAAAAAAAAAAAATTGTGTGTGTGTGGGGGGGGGCATTCTAAATTAACTGCAAAAGACATACAATACCCAACGGTTGAAAAAAGTCCTTTTCTTCCTAGTTCTTAAGTTTTTCAATGTAACAATGCAATTTGTTCATTAAATCTTCAAAATCTATTGTTTTAATCATAAACCAGCATGGTATGTTCACTTCATGGCTCATATTGTAACATTTCCGGCTATCATTGGGTGTATTGGCCAGTTTTTTTTT